GGCCAGTGTTTAGGATTTTTCCAACGGGAAAACCTAGAAAATGCATTAAATGTCGAAGACCAACGAAACTTGGCATGCATGCTGGGCATGGTGATGCCATGGTGTGGAAAAAAATTGGGTGCGTTTGGAGGAGGTTCGAAACATGCCCTTCCGACCTACCCGAACGTACCAGATTATAGACGATGTGTTTGGTTACAATCATGAAACCACTGAAAAAGTTCCATGTGCTCATGATTTGTTTCTAAGAAAATCACAAATTTGAAATAAAATCACAGACTCAAAAAAGTTCATGAATTTGAAATAAAATTGCAGACTCGGAAAAAATCATGAATTTGAAAAAAGGTCATGAGTTTGGGATAGTTCATTAAAAAAACAAATCATAAATATTAAAAAGTTAAAGAATTTTAAAAAGTTATGTGAATTAAGAAAAGAAAACAAAAATAGAAAGAATTAAGGAAAATGAAAAATAAATAAAAAACAAAGAACAAGGGCTAAACTGAAGAAAATCAGGTGGGAAACACATGCTTTTTTTATTAGAGTTATATTCGGATAAGAAGTAGGAAAGAAGTTCAATGGCAAGACAGTTAAAGTATCCTAGTGTTTAGTGCCCTCACAACTAGAGGTTGATAGTCTGGGATCGAATCCCACCAAGCACAGCTTCTATTTTTTTAGTAGTTTAATAGTGAAAAGAAATAAAGAAAAAACGTAAATGGACCAGGCCCGTCCATGGAGCAACTAACCTGTATTGACGCCTAGGCTAACGTACGGCCGTATATATCTAATGGTGTACGGTACGTCAAAGGTCGGTCTATATTGCCCTTTATACGTTTTGTGAGGGGGTCAACCGAAGCGCTTCTCATTACACTATTAACAGTTACTGTGCAGTTCATGGCCTTTTGGCGATCCTGCTAAAGTCGTTCTAAGGTTTCTATTTTGCAAATATCGTCCCACTTTTTTTTTACATGGTAATACGTGTCTCATTCATATCATAAAGAACAAAGTACAAGTCATATAAGAACCAACATGACAAAACTGAAAAGATAGCAGAACATCTCTGAGCTTGACACTAACGCCCGTCACCTGCCTCCGGCACCACCACAGCAGCCACCGAAGAAAAGAATGATGGATCACCTCCTCACCCGAGCTCGACGCGGCTCCATCGCTGATATGCAGCTTTGCGGACCTCCAAGGTGGCTTACCAAAAGTGAAGCCATTGTCATTGAACAAATCAGACCGAGGCAACACTCCGGACACGCCATCGAACTCCAGATCTGGCACCCCACCACGACTAAGACGCCGAAGGAGGAAACCATACCTGCCATCCACGAACCACGAACCACGAACCACGAACCCAGCACACGTTCCGTCTTCCAGATGTCGTCGATGCAGACCACAATCTGCATCCGCTCCTGGACTACCTCCCAAGCTCCACGCCGACGCTGGAGCAAACGTCGTCGCAACGACGGAGCCCGAGGACACAGGTCCACCACGAGGATACCGCCGCCGCCACGCCATCCTTACTTGAACAGACTGATTTCCAGATCCATCCCCAACCATAGGACCGATGGCCTCGTCAGGAAAGGATCCGAAGAATATTTATTCAGCGTCGTCATCGTCGCCGCCGAAGCAAAGGCGATGAACAACCTAAAAACCTAGACTAGGATGAGTAAAAACGATCCACATGCGCGGATCCGGCGACCCCCCTCATCATCGATGACCGAGGTCGCCGGCGAAGGGGAGCCGCCGGAGAATGGCCTTGGAAGATCGGCCTCTGGCGGCAGCTAGGGTCGCAGCCGCCAGATACGAGAAGAAAACGTATACACGCATTGGTTGGACCCCCACGCAAATATCGTCCCACTAATCATGAAACCAACGACACTGTAAAAAGGAAAATACCTGAACTTATACAAACTAGAGGACCTTTTCCCCGTAACCGATAAATCTGCACCCAATAATTTGCAAATCACTCACACTGATACACACTGTCGGTCAGTCGAAGAAACGCTAAACAAATAGAAACGTGTGCCACTCTGCTTAGCACAAGTATTTTGATCCATACACAAGCTACCTATTAATCATCACAAGTCCAGCACACAAATATAACAAGTGACACTCAAGTCCATACACGGGAGGCAACGCCAGACCAGGTGACGTCCCATGTCTGTGGATCAATAGACCATTACAAGAGATACGTACTCGACTCGAATGAATCGCCTTTTTTTATTTTTCAGGGAAGTGAGCACTACGACAATAATATCCAGAGTTCCTGGTCTCCTGGACTCCAGATTGGGCGTACGATACGTGTTGAATCATGCCTGTCTCATCGTCTGAACTGATCATATCCAACCTGCAGTCGATCCAAGGTGTCCAAGGCACTGTGGAGCCATGGCTTCGTTGTTCAGCTGGTCCATGCTGGTCTGATGGTACCTTCACATAGCAAAAGAAATCACTTCAATTTTGGACCGATCGAACACTCAGGTTCTGAACAATTACAAATCGGAAGAAAAATAGTTTATGCTTGATTCGGTGGGTTAAACCGATGGCCATGTAGAAAGACATACCCAATTTGCCTGGAGGAATCATGTTCCAGGCGTTCCAGCAGTCCGGGATAAGTAGTCTCGATGGCATGCCACCCACTGGAGCTACCGTGCCCTCCATCTTGCCATGACATATGGAGCGCATTCTCGGCACAGCTGATGTCTTCCAACTGGCACTCCCAAGAAAACAGTCATGAGAATTATTTTTTTCGAAACGGAGGCATAAGATTTGCCTCATCTATTAAATAAGGAGAGAATAGAGTTTAGAGAATTACAACACACCCACGCTTTCGGCATGACAATTACTCGCCCAGAAAAAAATTCCCTAATTTCTTTGCGCCCGCGGCCATCCAAAGCTTGGCCTCGTCGACGATGGCGGTGAGTAGGACGGTCGGTGGTGCACTTTTGTGGCGGAACACACGATGCATTTCTTTCATTCCAGATGGTCCAAGAGACGAGCATGGTGAGGGAGGCCATAGCTTGCCGGTTAGGGTTGTGGTTGTCGGTTCTCTTGTCCCACCACTGGTAGACGGAGTCGTCCATGAGCCAATCGGAAGTATCCATGTGCGCAAGACCTAGTTTCTCAATAAGAGACTTCCATAGCCGAATCGTGTAGCGGCACTTGAAGAAAAGGTGGGCTCCTGATTCTTGCTCCCTATTGCAGAGCTTGCAAAGGCCACAATTTGGCCAACCTCGACGCTCCAAGCGATCGGCGGTCCAAATCCTATCTTGCAACGCCAACCAAGCAAAAAACTTAACCTTTGGAGGTGCCCATGCCTTCCAAACCATGCGATCCAAGGGGGAAAGAGTCATGCCTAGGAATTGAGCCTTGTATGCGGTGGCCGCCGTGTAGATCCCATCGTTCGCATGCTTCCAAACGATGAGGTCTTTGGTTTGCTCATGAAGGTGGACGTCATTAAGGAGCATCCAAAGAGTGAAGAACTCCCTAATGTGGGCGATGGAGACATCCGTGTCCGTGTTCAGATTGATCTTGAAGATCCAAGCGTTCCCCACGAGGGCCTCACGGAACTTCCAATTCTTCCTTCTCGAGGCCGCAAACAAGAGTGGCGCGATATCCTTGGGTTTGCGACCAAGAAGCCACGGGGAGCCCCAAAAAGGCGTTTTGGCGCCATCCCCTACAGTGATAGTCGTAGAGGCATAGAAAAACTCGAGGTCCTCCTCCGTGCACGGGTTTCCAAGGCCAACCCATAATCTTCGGGGCTCCGTCCATTCATACCATAGCCATCGGAGCCGCAAAGCACGTGCAAACTTGTCGGTGTCAAGCACCCCTAGGCCACCATATTCTTTTGGTCTACAAACCACCTTCCAGTTGACCTTGCATTTGGCTCCCGTTGACTTGTCCGAGCCGGACCAAAGGAAAGCTCTCTCAATTTTGTTAAGGCTATGGAGAGAGCTCTGAGGCACGATGAGGGGCGTGATGGAGAATACTGCTTGGGAGGTAATGACCGACCTAACAAGTGTCGTACGACCGATCGTAGTGATGTTTTGGCCCTCCCAAGTGACCAATTTGCTGGCCGCTTTGTCCTCAAGGTATTGGAAATCCACCTTCTTCAGTTGCCAAACAGATAGTGGTAGTCCTAGGTATTTGACCAGAAAAGGGGCACGTGCCGCCGGCATGCTCTGAAGAATTTGCTCAAGGTCAAGGTGATTGCAGTGAATAGGCACAACCGAGCTTTTTTGGAAGTTGGAACAAAGGCCTGTGACGTCCCCAAAGCCTCTGAGGATAGAGGCAAGATTGTCGATGTCCCGCTTGATGGGGGCCACAAAGACCGCCGCATCATCCGCATAGAGGGAGGTGCGCACCATGGCACCCCGACCATGGATCTTATGTAGGAGCCCTTTTCGCGTCGCCAAGTCTAGGATCTTATGCAAGGGGTCAATTGCCAAGACGAAGAGGAGTGGAGAGATGGGGCCCCCCTGCCTGAATCCGCGGCCATGCTTGATAGGAGGGCCGGGTAGCCCGTTTAGCATTATCCGAGATGAAGAAGAGGATAGAAGCGCATCAATCCAAGCTCGAAATTTTGGAGGGAAGCCCAACCATTGGAGCAGCTCAAGAATGTATCCCCATTTGACTGAGTCGAAAGCCTTTTTTATATCAAGCTTGAAAAGGAGTGCGGGGTTCTTGCATTTGTGTAGACGCCGGGCAAAGTTCCGAACATACATGAAGTTGTCGTGGATACTTCTCCTTTTAATGAAAGCACTCTGGGCGTTGGACACGAGGTCATCCATGTGGGGCGCAAGGCGTAGCGATAGAACCTTGGCAATGATTTTAGCGATGGCATGTATGAGGCTAATGGGCCTATAATCAGAGATGCCTTCCGCGCCGTCCTTCTTAGGGAGCAGAACAACATTGGCAGAGTTTAGCCATTGCAGGTTGGAGGTGTGTAAGCAATCGAAGCGTTGAATGACCCCCATGATCGTATGCTTGCTGATTCCCCAACACTTCTTGAAGAAGATCCCCGTGAAACCATCAGGTCCCGGCGCCTTGTTACTAGGCATTTCTTTTATAGCCTCCCAAACCTCCTCCTCGGTGATGTCGGCATCGAGGTCTTGCAAGGCATGGGCCTCAATGCTCAGTTCCTCCCAATTGAAATCCTTATTGCTCGTACTTCCCCGGCCCATGACCTCGGAGAAGTGATCATGGATGATCTTCCCTTTTTCCTTGTGGTCGGTCACCCAACCATGAGCATGCTTTAGCCGGTGAATATGGTTTTTTATCCTACGGGCATTGATGCGACGGTGGAAGAATTTGGTGTTGGCATCACCCTCCCTCCGATTTGCTAGTCTAGCACATTGGCTCTTCCTAGCCCGCTCAAGGACCGCCAAACTAACCACTCTTCACTTAAGTCTAGCATGCAGATCCCTCTCCTTAGGTGAGAGGGCTCGTTCCTCTTGCGCCAAGTCCAACTGAAGGATCACCGAGAGGGCCGCATGGAGTTGGATCTTGGCCTTGGAGAAAAACTTCTTGCTCCATTCAGTGAGCCGGGTCGCGGTTTTCTTAAGCCTGTGATGAAGAATTTGGAAAGGCTCTGTGTGGTTTACATGCTCATTCCACGCCTTTAGGACGACGTCGTAGAATCCAGGCAAAGATACCCAAAAATTTTCAAATTTGAAGGACCGTGGACGTCTAGGTCCCTTGTCATCGGCAAGCAGGAGAGGGCAATGGTCGGAGAGGGAAGATGAAATGGCATGCAACACATGCGTGTTGAAAGTTGTGTCCCACTCGGCGTTGCAAAAGAAAGAGTCAAGCTTGCAAAGGGTGGGGTTTTCTCGCTCATTGCTCCAAGTAAAGCGTCTATTTTGGAGATGAATTTCTTTGAGCTCACAAGATTGAAGGGTTGCACGGAAACGGTTTATCCTGCTCCGGTTTACATTTCTCTTGTTCTTGTCTCGTGCTCGGTATATTTGATTAAAATCCCCAAGGGCCAACCAAGCAACACCCGGCAAAGGCTTGTGGGCGACAATCTCGGTAAAGAAAGAATCTTTACTGGCGTGGTCAGTGGGACCGTAGACAGATGTTATCATGAAGCATACATCTGACGCCCGAATGCGAACACCTTGCCGGAGAGGCAAAAGGCCGACGAAGAAATGTCGGAGACCTCGACAACGTTGTCATCCCATAGTAATAAGATCCCACCCCTAGTTCCCGTCGCCGGTCGCTGCGCAAAACTTTTCAGCCGGTTGCCACCAAGGAAGGCAGCCACATATTTGTCCACGCTATCTAGCTTCGTCTCTTGTAAACACACGATTTGGCACGAGGAGTCTGCAATCGTAGCACTGATGGTTGCCCTCCGGGTTGGGAAGTTTAGACCACGTACGTTCCAACTCAGGGTGTTTATAGGTTGTGGAGTCATGGAGCACACGAACATACACCTTGACCAGTCCAGGAGGGAGGACAACAACGAACAGACATCAGACTAACAACAGTACTGAACTGGGCTACAAACCCCATTGGGGCACATGAGTACTGGACGTAGCTTAACACATGGACGTAGCCTAACACATGGCCGAGCCATGCGGCATTAGACTTACACATAGATGGAACTAAGGCAGCCAACAGGCTGACACACATTACAGTGCAGGGGAGAGCTAACATAATCAACTAAAACAGCCCTGAACGACGAACCGGACGAGCAAGTCGCCGCCTACTGTGCTTCCAGGCTCGGCTGAGCCGCACTAGCATCCTGGGACATCTCCAAAGCTCCCTCACCACCGTGATCAATCAGAGCATCCTCGACATCGTTGACAGCCTTGTCGTCAAGGTGAAAAAAATCCCTCATGGCCATAATCAGCTCAGGAGCAAGTTGCTCTTTGAACTTGGCAGTGAAATCAGCAAGTGTAGCCTCTGTTACGTCTTCTCCATCTCTGACTATCCCAAAGGACCGGCAAACTAGCTTTTCCGCCGCCTTGGCTGCTGGGAGCACCATATGGGTGCGCTTGATTTTCTGCAGGGAGAGCCCCCCCTTGTTGGAGATCTTGACGCCGGCAATGGTCTTCCGGCGAGCCGTAGGAGGTCTGGGAGGGGGGGACTCGGGCGGAGCAAGGATGCCCATCTGGCGCTCCTCAAAAATAGGCGCCAGAACATCTTCAGGGCAAGCTAAGGCATGGCTTCGCACGGGGGAGGGCGTGCGCTGCAGAGGGCCGTCGCAGCACAGGGGCGGTGTAGGCGATGTCTGGAAACCCGGTGGCCTAGAGGGCGACCGCAGGGGCAGCACGAGAGACGCGGGCGCACAAAGCTCCAGCAAGGCTTGGCTGGGCGCGTGGCTCGCCAGGGGGGAAGTCGAGGGCACAACGCACTTGGATATCAGGCATGGTGGCAGGACGGTTGTCGGAGACAGCGGAGGGGACACCGGGGGGGTCCGCTCCTCTTGAGAGCGGCGCCTGGAGGAGCGTGGAGAGGTCTGGCGCATCGGACTGCGCCCCCGAGCGTCAACGCCGGCAGGGTCGTTGACGACCGCCAGCTCCAGGGCACGAACAGGCTCGGCACTGCCAGAGCCAGAGCCCCTAAGCACCAAGCCAGGGCACACACGGGGGCGGCCACAACAGCTTGGCTGTTGTCAGCGCGTCGACGGCCGCCGGAGCGGTCTCGTGTGCGGTCCTGGCCTCCCGCCGGGTACCGATCCCGGGCGCTTCGGGAGAGAGAGCGCCGCACCCTGGCTCCCCAGCTCTCCCTTGCACGCTCACCACCACGGCCACGCCTGCCGTCACGGTCATCCTCATCATCCCGCCTATCATCGCGGCGCTCCGTGCGCCCCTGAGCAGGCCGACGCTCTCTTGGAGTGTAGGTGCCATCGACCATCTTCCTGTACCAGGTAAACTCGTTGACTTCCGGCGGCGGCGGGTTGTCGTCGTCGTCTGCAGCCTTGGAGTGGTCCTCATGTAGGTCGAGGTGGAAGATGACACGGTGACGGAGGCCACGGCGCCCGCGACGACGATGACCACGAGCCGGCAGGGTCAGCCATTTGACCTTGGGAATGGCATTGGGGTTGGAGGTCCATGCCCAGAGCGCCATGTCCCTCGTGTCCTCCTTGCGGAGCGATCGCGACTCGATGTAGTCGAGGGAGCAGCCGCGGCTGATGAGAAAGGTGGCGATGTAGTGGTTCCAGCCGTGCAGTGGAACACCTTCTAGACAGAGGCGGACGTGGTGGAGCTGGTCTTCGTTGTCAGCATGGGCCTCAAGTCGCCATTCACGCACATAGATGCGATGACCAGAGCCGCGGAGATCACCACGAGACACTGCGTCAACGCAGTGGTGCTGATGCAAGAAGCGCACGAAGAACTGCTCGGGGTAGTGCTTGACGACCTCAACGTCGGCCGGCCTTGCACCCAGGGCCGTTGCGAGCTCGGCGGCCACCTGATGGCAGGGGACGTCCTGCCTGGCACCCTCCAGCCAGGCCACTGCACAGTTGGAGGAGAGGATGGCCGCCTCCGCTTGCATCTCGGGCGTTGCCGGGACCACGACGAAGTCCTCCTCCGGCCTCAGCGCAGCGTCGCCCATACGCAGCATCACGGCAGGAGCAGCACCGGAACGAGGCATAGGGCGCTGAAGAGAGGTCTCCCAGCCACGGCCTAGGCGCGGGGGTGCTTGGAGGGCAGCAGGAGCCGCAGCAGGACGAGGAAGAGGCGGTGGAGGGACGGCGAGGTTGTCGAGTTCACTCAGAGGCTTCCACTTATTGTGGCAGCCGCGCGACTTGTGCCCATTTTGTAGGCAGCGGGAGCAGCGGATCGGGTCACGGCAAACCGCAGCTCGGTGCCCGCGGAAGAGGCACCGACAGCAGCGCCCCAGAAGCCAGCAAGGGATGGGCGCCGGCTTGAATGTTGCAGCGGCCAAAGCCGGGCGGCGCAGGCTTTTACGAGACACGACGAGGTGCCAGTCGCCGGTCACCTCCGTCTCGCGCCCCGCGTCCGGCATTGAAGACGCGCCAGGAGCAGGAAGGGATGAGGAAGCCAGCTGCTCAGCATCGCCATAGTTAATGCCAGCGCCTGCCTGCCCATGAATGCGCGGAGATGCAGCGCCCGTCCGCCCTTGAATGCGCGGAGATGTAGCGCCATGTCCCGACCCAGCCAGGGCCTGACCCAAGCGCGTCGCGACAGCCCGCGAGATGGGCATGAACTCCTCGGAGGCCAGGGCGACAGATCCGCCGTGCCCCGCCAGAGGTGGATCTGGATCCGGCGAAGCAGAGAGCAGAGGCCCTCCCTGCAGCGCAGAAAGGCCAGAGGCGCCACCAGGACCGCGAGGAGGGGGAGGCGGGAGGGGCATGAACCAGGCGGCCGACGCGAGGTCGGGGCAGGGCGCGGCCGCCGCCGGGAGCGCAAGCGCAGGCGCGGGGCGGAGGAGCGTGGACGCGCTCATTTCTTGTACAGATGCAATTTTTCCATTTGTGAACTTTATTAAGTTGTTTCTTCATGAGAAATTTGATTGCCCACACTGGACTCATTCTTTTTATCAGAATGAATGTTTGTATTCCGTGTAGTTTACAAACTTCGTCCAGCAAAGGTATGCAATTTGTGTTGGCAACAAGGTGAAGGTTCAAAATTTGATAAAGGACAGAAAGCGTAAGTTCTAAGCTCAGTGATAGTACCTTCTTCCTCAGGTCTTTGTTTTGATCCAGCAATTCTTGCTCCTGTAGAACATCATTTTGCCATTATATATTAACAGAAGGAGCATGAAATATAGGGTGAGGATTATCTGAAGTTCATGATTCATCATTACCTTACTTTTCAGGTCATATAACTCATGAAGTAATACTTTATTTTGCAAAAAATGTATGCTTTGTCATAAAGCAAGGCAAAACCACCTGACATAACTGCGATGTTTCAGCTAACGCTATAAAAATGCCTTAAAAGTTCAGCTGCATATTAACAATAATGGATACAACATCATTTAGATGCTCTGAAGCTAACATTTTTTTCACTAAGACAATTCGAAACTAATACATGCATCATCTTCAACTGATGAAGTATCTCCCTCCATCCCATCATATAAGAGCATTTTCGAAAATGTTCTAAATGAGAAACAACCACCGGAGAACTTTGAGCATAGAAAAAAAATCAGAATATAGCATAAATGAGGTAGCATTTCAAAGGAAAATCTGAAAACCGTATAACAAAAAATCAATAAAAAGATGATGGTTTGTTATAGAGGGACCCTGAGCCAGAGCGGACCCATGCTGCAGCGGCCAACGCTGTTATATTATGGGACGAAGGGAGTAGAAAAATATCTGAAGTTGCTGAACCTGAGCTTATGTAACATACATTAAATATTCAAATTCTCTACCTTTCTTGTCCTGATATGCTTGAGAGATATGTCTATTTGGTTCTCAATTTGCTCAAGCTCCCTCATGCTAAGTGGGCCCAGATCCTCACCGAGAATATTTCTACAACACGAGAACGAGGACTGATAAGGTAGAGCAACATTGCAATGTATATACAGCAAGTAACTTTTCACCCCAATCTCCAAAAACTACCTTTGTGAACTTTGAAGATATTCAAGTCTGGTCTTCAACTTCAGATATTCTTGGTAATTTATCTAGTTTCAAAAACAAAAAAGGATGCATGGTAGATGTCAGTTCAAGTGACACAATACTTGCCGTGGAAATGAGAAGCTAAATGTACATGACAACAGACCATGTTGGCCAAACAAACAAGACAGTTCAAACAAAATGTTGCCCCACCAAATGGAAGCTGGGAAAGATTGAAAACAACGACAGACTACAAGAGAGTGCAATGTTTAGCCTGGACCTAACCTTGGACAATCACCTGAATATGTTTCCAAAAACTGGAGTTGGTTAAGCTGTGACTATGTTTACCCGTAGGGCTTTTTGCTTAGTTTTTCTCTGTTTTTTTCCTTACCCTTTTGTAACATAGTTCCTGCGTCCGAAAATACTTGTCATTAAAATTGATAAAAATTGATGTATCTAGAACTAAAATACATCTAGATACATCCCCTTTTATCCATTTTGATGACAAGTATTTTCGGATGGAGGGAGTACTGTTTATAGTAATGAAAATTAACCGTAGAACAATTGTTCAGTTCTATGGTATGCGGCTAAAAAAAATCACCTGAATGTAATGGTTATTTACACACACAGCTGTTCTGACCGAATATAGTGGGCACTAGCGAGACGACTACTGACTATATTTGCTCGGCCGTGTACCCACCTTGCTGCGCCGACCCGACCCTCGCCGCCGCCGCCACAGTCACTGCCGTTGACACCGGTGCCATCCTACAGCCCTGCTGGCTTTTCCCGCAGCTTCCTGTGAGTGCAGGCCGCCAAAATCGTCATTTTCGCCGCTGTTGAGCCCGCCGTCGCTGCAGCTCAGGCATTTCTAACCGATACTCTATAATCGGTTAGTGAAGTAGCTTTTTACTCCACTAATCGATACCTAGCCAATCCCCAATCCGACATAATGTAGTATTCCCTCCGTCCGAAAATACTTGTCATTAAAATGGATGTATCTAGATGTATTTTAGTTATAGATACATCCATTTTGATGACAAGTATTTTCGGACGGAGGGAGTATTATTTTACTCCTCCTAAATTTTTTCCTATTTTTACTTCCTCTTTGCTCCCCTAAGTAAAACGGCGCGACTCTCCTCTGCTGTCTCTCCCGAGCCGCATCTTCGCCCCCGCCGACCCTCCTACCCCCCCCCCCTCCTCGCCGGCACCGGCAGGCCGCCAGGGGAGCCTTGCAGGCCTCCGTCGCTGTCCTCCACCACCTCCTCATCCCGCCGCCGACCAAAAATCAAGGGGATCTGCGGCTGCTGCCGCCGCCCCCGGATTTGGCGTTTCCGGCCACTGGCGGCTACGCCTTGTCAAAGGTTGGCCGTGAAGCAGCCCACACAGCCCTGACAAAGCCTCTGCGCCGCATGTAGGTACCAGCTCTTCCTCTAGCCACTCTAATGCTCCAGTCGTCGGTTCATCGGCAAATACACGATCGACCGTCGTCCGGGCTCGGCGCTCGTGCAGCGGCTCACCGGCTTGCAGCTGCCGATCATACAGTGCGAGGCTGCACACGACAAGTGGTACGCTGAGTTTTTACCATGTCGCAACATCCCGGATGGGTGTTCTTCAAATGCACAAACGATGGGGTATGTACTTGTTTTGATTCGGTTTTCATCGGATTTGGTTCAATTTCGGTAGCTAATTGATACTCATCTATGTGTGTAGGATGATGGATGCTCATTTTGGTATTGGGAAGAAGAGTACATCGATATATTGATAGCACGAAAATTAGTAGATGTTCGTGAACTCGTTGCTAGAATTGAGGCTAAACATGAGACTAGATGCTAGATTAAAGAAGAAATTAGAGGGGAAGCAACGTCTACATTTTTAGAATCAAAGAAGAAGAATGAAGTATGCAAGATCGAGAATCCGTAGATCAACAATGAAGGCATCAAGAAGATATTAATCCAACTAGTAGGAGCAGTTATGGAAGTTGGATATCTTCGAAAATATCTAATTGTGGTTCTTGTTTTCTTTGGCCTTACTCATCTAGCAAAGAATTGGTGAATTATTCTGTAATCCAATGTCGTTGAATGAAATAAATAAGCAGAGAAATCTGTTTCCATGGCTGAAATTGAAATGCAAATGAATTTTTTTACTCCGTTAAGTTTAGGGGATCGGCTAGGTACGGCCAAAACTTAGTGGAGTATATATAGTCCACTAAGCCTTTTACTCCATTAACTTTTAGGGGATCGGTTAGAATTAGCCTAAGGGCACCGTCAAATTCGGATTTCTTCTGGAATCGGACCGGCCGACCACGACGATGTGGTAGGAAGGTCGACCACAAGCCAGCGCCGACAGGCGCTGCCAGATCTAAAAAAGAAGCCATCCGATCTGGTTGCCGACGCAACCTTCATCCATGGCGTCATTTGTTACCTCCTTGCTGAAAAACCACGTGCGTGCCCAGCTACGTAGCGTCGGCAGTCTCCTCTGCTTCCTTGATGCGCAAGTCAAAGGTCCGTCGTCAGCGCTGTCGCTATGACCTCTACTACACATATGGTATTTGTCAAAATTCCCCTGTGCATTTGTTTACATATTGCATAAAAACGTCTCAGATAGACCGTTACATTTCTCCGTGTTTAGATGGTCTCCTCCGCTATCATGACCTAACTGGTACTTTCAAACTCAAACAGTCCATGGTTCTCAGTTAGGCCGACGACTGTTTCTTTGAGACCAAGGCATGGGTCATGATGGTCTTGTCAAGGATTACTTTGCGTCGAATGCAGTCTAACCCCTATACTATTCTTGGCGCCTATTTAGAATGCATCGACTCTCTTCAACACCATTGAAAAGGCTATGGAGAGACATGATCCTTGGTTTGTATTGAGAAGGAATGCAACAAAGTAGAAACTGCAAGTCCATTGTTGAAGATAATATCAATCATGCAAGTTCTTGCTTATGGATGCCCGTCTGATGCCATCCATGTCTATGTTCGCTTGGTGAAGATCTGTCCCTGAGTGTGTGAGACGATTCTGCACAACTGTTGTCGAGATCTATGGACCAAATGACTTGAGGGTTCCCAATGAAGAATATACTCAAAGGCTCATGGTAGAAAATGAAGAGATAGGTTGCCCAGGTATGCTTGGATCCATTGACTGCATGCATTGGACTCGGAAGACTTGTCATGTTGCATGTCAAGGTCAGTATCGAAGGCATTGCCTCGATCCAACCATCATTCTTGAGGCAGATGCATCACATGATCTTTGGATTTGGCATCCATACATTGGTATGCTTGGCTCTCACAATCTTCTCTTTTTGAAAGGATTATTGATGGTGGCAGTCCAACTTGCGACTATGTTGTCGATCATCACAATGTGTACAACATGGGTTACTACCTTGCCGATGACATCCATCCTCCATGGGCCACAATTGTGAATACTATCCACAAACCAAATGGTAACAAGAGATCTCACTTTGCAACTTGTCAAGAATCTGCTAGAAAGGATGTTGAGAGAGCATTTAGTGTGCTTCAACGATGGTTTGCGATTGTCTATGACCCCGCTGAGCATTGGAAGCTCGAGACCCTATGGAAGATCATGGCATCATGTATTATCTTGCACAACATGATCATTGAGGATGAGAGAGAAGACCCAAAGGACTTTTGGCAACTATTCAACGCCCACCTGGTGCAGCTGGAGCATAATCCAAATAGGATCCAAGCCTTCATCCATGCACACCAACAGATCAACCATTGATCTCACAACCGACTTCACGAAGATCTTATTGAACATCATTGGTGCCTTCATAGCACTTGATTCTTGTGCTTTAATCATGTTTATTTTAATACTTAGTTTAGTTGGACCGTATGTTGTCACATCCCTAGCTTCTGGTAATGCTCTAGGCTAGCTTCATGTGTGCATCATGTCTATATTCCGAAAGTTGAAATGAGGAAATTGAAAGCCTCGGAAATCATTTTAATAAAGGGGCAAGAAACCCTAAAATTGCAATCAGTAAATCCAAAATGCCCTAGAAATAGCTCTGACAATTTTGGCAAGAGTTATAAATCAAACCAAAATTTTGGGACATTTCTAAGGAATTATTTGGGCTCTGATTTTAAATCAATATTTTATTTGAATTTGGAGTTATATTCATAATATATAATGAATATATTTTCAAATGCCCTGAGATATTTTATGTTTATGAGGAGTAGACCTTAAGTGACATAAAATTATCCAGGGGAGTTTTGGCACTGTTTTCAAATTTGTTTGAATTTGAATTCAGTGACAATTAAATAGAAAACAGAACAGAAATATAAAACAGAGCAACTTACCTGGCCTTACCTGGTAGCCCACCAGCAGCCCAGCCACTTACCTGGCGCTCACCTGCAGCAGAGCCGGCCCAGCACGGCCCAGCCCACCGCCGCTTTCCCTCCTGTCGTCTTCCTCCCTCGCCAGAAGGACAGAGGCGAGGCGTGGCGAGCGCCGACGCCGCCTCAGCCACCTCCTGCTTGCCGCTTTGCCCTGGCCTCTTCGGGTGAAGCCACGCAGCCCCCTCGCTCCTCTCTCTCACTCTCTCCCGACCCCTTCTCCCTTCTCTGCTCTCCCCTCTCGCGCCCGAGCGCGCTCGTCGCCGCCGTCCACTGCCACCACGGCCACCGGGCCTCCCTCGCTTCCCCGACTAGCCCACAAGCTCCGCCACTCCGTCCTCGACCCATCTCACCGAGCCACGCCCCTCCAGAAGCCCCTGAACGACCTCACCGGGCTCGTCTTCTACCTCGGACCCGCCAGCCATCACCGTCAAATTCGTCGGCTCCGGACCGTCCCCGACCTCGCCGAGCGTTCCGTCGTCATCGCCGTGAGCTCCTGCTCCTACTCCCCCTCTCCGCTCCCTCTCTCGCACGCTGTAGCTGCCGCACCACATCCAACCGCACGCGCCGCCGCTCGCACTCGTCGCCGGTGATGCTCCGGTGACCATTTGGTCCCGGGCATGCGCCCAACGCCCTCCCCGCATCGCGTAGAGCCTCCAGGCACCTCGCCGCGCTCGTTTGCGCACCGCAGCCCCATCCCCACTTGCACCCGAGCTT